TTTTTTGGGTGTTGTAACTTATAACTTGATAAATTGCAATCTTCTTGGAATTGTGATCCCAAATCGTAACAAAAATCTTCAAATTTATTTGTGGTTCTGCAATAAGGACTCTGTTTTTTTCTTTTTGAATGCATGCATCTGGAACCTATGTTTTATTCTATTGGGAGTTCTTCTGTTTCAGAAAGGAATATTATAACCTGCGAGCAGTTTGCCATTTCTAATTTAGCTCTTAAGTACAGATCATATCTATGTAAATGCCCAATGCAAACAATCAGAGGCAATAAGTGTTCTAGTGCTATGCCTTTGTGCTCTGATGAGCTTCCACTTTGAATATGATTTTAGAAACTTGTCCAATGTCCAAGGATTTTAATCTTGATTCAGACATATTAAAGGTTAGTGTTGCATATGATATCCTCTTGCTTGAATATTGATTCTGCCCTTCTTGATTCCAGATTCAGGTTTTCTCAGGACATTGGATTCTAGCATTAAGCGCAACACGGCTGTTATAAAAAAACTAAAGCAGATAAATGAGGAGCAGCGAGAAGGTATGATGGATGAGTTGCGTGGTGTCAACATAAGCAAATTTGTTAGTGAAGCAGTAACTTCAATTTGTGATGCGAAGCTTAAAGCTGCAGACATACAAGCTGCTGTTCAGGTAGAGCTAGTGATTGAGTTGATTATTTTTTCAACTGCTTCTCAAGCTGGGAAAGATTAAACAATCAAAAGTGCGGCAGGAATAGGCTTTAAGCTTTAAAGGACATGCACTGGCAGTGTCTCTAATGCATTGACTATGTAATACCTTGATGAAATTCTGATTATTTTAGTAGAACTGTTTTAGTATACTAAACCATGGTTTATTCCTGCTTATATTTTCTCTTATTCTCTGCATTTCAAGTGCATGGACTAACTTGTTTGCTGCAATTAGGACTCGCCAGTTCTGAGTTCTACTTGAACTTTTGTTATGTTATAGTCAGCTTTTTGTGATGTGCATTAAAAAAAAAATAAAAAATCAATCAATCCCTTTGTATATATTGGACTTGATAGTATTCTATTGAACAGGCGACAAACCTCATCTCAATCTTCAAATGCGGACATCTGGGGGATATTCTGACTGTAATTTTTGTGTTGAAGTTGAAGTGTTTTGCCTATAGTTCTTGTTGCCACCCTTGATATCATCATTCTCATTAAAGACTAGCTTGTGATTTTGTTGTGGCTGATTTTTAACTTTTTTTTCTCTGCTTGTGTTCAGTTCTGAAGTAAATGAAATATTTGCTTGCAAAGAGAGA